GCTGTAAATTTCGATCCCCCGCCGTTGAAATATTAATTGATAGATAGATGCGGTCGACCTGCGATGCATGTCACCTGGGAAGTTTACTGCTTTCTCAAGAGACTTTCACACGAAGAGAATATTCTGTAGTTCTTTCCTCGTGCTGATTCTTCTTAAATTTATCGTGTTTTTTTTCCAGCACGTTGCAACGTGCTTCAGCAGAGTTCATCTTGCTAAGCAATTCGGTTTGAATTTTTTAGTACTACGCTTTGGTGCCACGGAAAAACGCACCGGCGCGGCCAAAAAATCCACGGGAAATGATCTGTGAATCAATCTGATGCAACTAAAGAGCGAAAGATAACTCGAGGCACAGTCTCGGTTGCGAGACGGTGCAAGTTGTGGTCCCGCACGCGAAAATCAAGTCCTGAGGTACTTGCAGCGTCATCAAGGAATACCGTGAATTAAACTGTCATACCGTGACAGTCCGCGAGGGGCGAGGAGGGGGAGGGGTGGAGGGGGTGTAGCAGAACGACTAACATTTGTATGCAGAGAGCGCGTCTTTCATCGGCGCTCGTCGTTCTCGGGGAGAATTTTCCGGCAATGTTGTGCCTGGCGTTCGTTCTTCACGAGAGTCGTAAATGAGGAGAAAAGAATACTCCGCGATAATAAAGGCTATGGGTAGCAGAGAGTTCGCGCGCGTAATTGTGCGAGAGTGTTTTTCTTTTCTTCGGGGAGCGACCCATGACGCTGGGGGCGGGGGAAGGAAGCAAGGCAGAAGAAGGGGTTGGTCGGCCGGAGTTAATTCCTCATTATTTCGCTACCCCCGGCGACGATTAACGAGGCGATTCTCGTAGGCGCTAAAATTGCCGGAGGCTCGGCGATTAGTCCGAGGACAGTCGGACTACGGAGGACCGACGTATTAATTTCCCGGCCCGGGTTTTCGAGCCTGGAAAAACGTCTCTGGTTGCTTCTTTGTCCGTTCCGCCGCGCAACTGCCGTGAACAAAGCGCCGGCCGCCGCCGCGAGATTCGATTTTGGCAGCGCGCGAATTCGTTGTCGTGTTTTCCCCAAAACACTCGTCAGTGGTTTCCCGATGGAAAAACATATCGCTGACTCCGGCGAAACAATCCGGACGCGCTGCTGAATTCCCGGTTCGTTGGCGACTATTTATTTACCTTCTGTGTATCCGCGCGCTAAAATATCAGCCGAGAAGTCGAAGCAGCGACTGTCTGTCGGTCGCGCATCATTCTTTTGTTTTGTACGTCGTAACTAGGCTGACCAACTGTCCCGAATTTCGCGGGACGTCTCGCGAAATTCGGGCCTCCATAGGGGGGCGTCCTCTTGGCGGGACGCCATTCGTTCCGCATTATTCGCATAACTATAATTACTTTTCCGGGATTGTTTATTATTACATATTGTCTTAGCGTTGATGAGATGCTCTTTTTTATGGGAATTTCATTTAATTTTCTTTGAAGAATTTGTTAGTCTAGTTTCTTAGACGTATAATGTTGATCGAAATTATTTCCTGGCCGAGGCAAATCCCTGTGTGAACTTCTTCCTCGCGTCCAGACTCATTCCCCACCCGCGTTACTTACAGTTTGCAAATTCCCCTGTACACGCCCCCTCAAGAAACACAATTGCACTCCTTTATCTTCGCGATGTTCGTCCGCTTCTGAACTCATTAACTTCTTTGCGCTTATGTTTTTCGCGCGCCCGCCTCGCCGACGGAGCCTCGTAAATTCGAACTCTGTCCACTTACATTCTCATTAATTAAACACAATCGCGTTATCAGTTTCTAGTGCGCTGTGAATGTGCGATGCAAAAGTTTCTCTCTCTCTCTCCCTCTCTCTCCCTCTCTCTCTCCCCCCTCCCTCCCTCTTTCTCTCTCTCCCCCCTTTCGGCTCTCTTCTTTTTCGCGCTCTCCAAGTCGTACAAATTTGATCACCCTCTCCTCTCTTCTTTCCCAATTACTCGAACGCGGCTTGTTCAGCTGGTTATGCGCGCGTGCTCGTTAGTTACATCGCGGGATTGCGAGTTAGTTACACCCGCGGCTTGCCGGGCGTGAATCGATTGGAATCTTAGTTGACAGGAGCGATCGGTGAATCAACAATCAAAATTAATCAGTCGTCATACCTGTAATCTTGATCTAACTTAATCGATTAGTGAAATTAATTATTAATCAGTGCGTAATCCATGTAAACGAAGCAATCGATTGTAACAATCGTGTGCAATCACGATTTGCTCGACGTTCGATTAATCCAATCGTTTGTTGAAATTGATTGCCGATTAAAAGAGTAATTATCGACTTCTAATCTTAGTCACAGTGTGATTAAAATTGTAACCAGTCGGTGATTTTTTGCGGCAAATTTTTTTTCCATTTTTTACAATTAAAAAAAGTTTAACTAAAAAACCAAGCCAAAAGTTTCGATTCACGTCACGGGCGTTTTTCACATAACTAACTTACATTTTGTATGAAATCCTTAAAAAATCTCTTTGATGCTACATTTTATGAAATGTATATAAAGTGGTCCTTTTCTTTTTTAATTTGCTCTTGTGAATAATTAGATACAAAAAGTGACTAACTACAATTATAAAACTCGTGTTACACATTTCTTATTGTCTCTGCAAGTACAAACGGCAAACGAAATCTAAAATTTTGGTGTAAAAGAGCACAAATTTGCTACTGTTTTAGTCTCGATCAAAATTGACGATTAATTAACAATTAACTGCTACTCCGTCGTGTAAATCGTATAATTGCATACAATGATTGTTTCATTTGATTATTTTCATCTGATTGATTACATACGGATTAATAATTAATTTCGCCGGTCGATGGAAATTATTCATGATTGCATATATAACGACTCGTTAATTGTAATTATTGATCTGCCGATTATTTTTGTCTAAATAACATTTTAATCGATTAATGCCCCACGCTGCGATCCGCGCGACAATGTTCCACCGTTGTTCTCGCGTCAGCGAGAAGATATTTTCCGAAGCGACGGTAAACGCGACTTTATTGTTCGATTCGCGCCATTGTAAAACGGGTTATTCGCGATCAGCGACACAAGATACGAATTAACGCGAGCGTTCCGCGTTCTACATGCACGCGAAATAAATCATTTTTCGGCAGCTGGCGGTCTTGAATTTGTCCGTCGGCCCGTTCCTCTCGCGAATCATCTCGTTATCGACGTCGGGAGACAATAGCTGCCGCGTCGAGCGGATTTTTCGTTCTGATTACTTGTGTTTTGCGCGCGGCGCATGTGAAACGCGCCGCTGCCGCCGCCACACAATGGAGCGACGAAATACCCGAATTTCTGACCGAGCTTGTCGATTGCGGTATGATGAAAAATTGCGTTTGCATATTTAAATAGTTTAATGCCTGACCGAATTTGCGGGCGAAACGCCATCTTGTCAATTTCCTCTCTCAAGTGTGCCCCACTTTGAGAGAATGACCGTGTTTGGCATTCAATTTGGCCGCCCTTCCCATTTGTTCTTGGCGTACACACAAATAAAGTCATTTCGCGGATTCCGCCCCAAAAAGATTCGATTGCGAGAATACGCGAGCTCTTGCGGGTCATTTTCCGCGCATTCGGGCGCTACACATTTCGAAGTGAAGTACTATGGCGAGCTTTAATTGGAAATATTCGATCGCGTTTATTGCCGCTGTCGCCGTCGCTGCTAGAGCCGGAAACACGCAAATAAAATGCCATCATGAATTTCATCTTGTAAAACACATTCGGCTCCGGCGGACTTTGTTTGTCCGGTAAACATCATTCGTCGATTAATATATAATTACGTTTGTGCGAATGCCCTTCCGCGGCATCGAGCCGATTAATTGAAAATTGTTTATTACATTCGGCGGAAATGGCCCTCGCGGCTGCACACAGCATGTAAATTTGGTCTCCATATATTCATAATAAAAATAGCCGCCGTTCTTCGATACGCGCATTACCGCGAATTTCGATTAATGCAAGATTTATCATTGGCGATTATTCACGCGGCAAGATGCGGCGATTTTTCACGTCGGGCTGCACGACGAGGAAAAACTCGCCGGCTAATATATTCCGATTAAACGAGGCGTATTCCCCGAATTTCATGGAATTTCGTAATTTCATTGAAAACGAGCAAAAATTCGCTCGAAGCGATAGTGAAAATATTGTCACGCGCAGTCGGATGAGTGAGTTTCTCGCTCAGGTTTCGAGTGCTTTTTTATACTCCGTACGAGTTAATGTTTTAATCGATTAAATGAAATACGACAGATTCAGTTTTCAATTTCGAGCGAAGATATTTATTTTCGCGATTTAGAATACACGGAAAGAATGTCACGGTAAAAATCACGAGCGCAGCTCCGGCAAAGTTTTATACACAGTGTTTTAATTTACAGAACAAATATTTCATTTCTTTAAGGAAAATGAGTCTAACACGATAAATAAAAAAATGGATATTTTACAAGGATTAGTTCTTGCGTAGAGATAAGGTTTTGCAAAATTTTTCATTCGTTATTTTAATTAATTTTTATTTACGACAAAGGATTTTTTGGATATGTTTATTTGGAAGTATTTCCAAAACTTGTAGCTAAAATTGTAGTTAAAATTACATATCTCGATATATATTCGGCTTTAATTTATTATTTTTCGTTCCCATTTTCTCCACTTACCTCTTGGGGAATTGCAAATACTTATTAAAAAAAATATATCGACAGTTCCTTTCTACCCAGAACAGAAAACGCGGTAAAAATTGTAAAAAAAAAAATACATAAGACACTTCCAGACCTCGCGATGTTAATTACTCAATTCCTTAAAAAAGAAAAAAGAAAAACTGCTGTAAACGTTTTCTTCGCGTGAGCGGAAAATCGTAGTCGAGCGACTCGGCATTAAGTCACTTCGCCTCTCGGGCGGAATTTCGTGCTAGGAAACCCTAGCAGAATACGATTTTCATTCGCATCCGATGAATTTCGGATCGACGCACATCCCGATTACGCAGCGTGCTATAATCTCGTGATGCATTTGTGCTTTCAGGATGGTCCGCATGATCGGCGATGAGTTCCTCACGGAAGAGCGGGACCGAAAATACTACGCCGATCACTACACGTGCTGTCCGCCGCCTCTCTTCATCATACTCATCACTCTCGTGGAGGTGAGTACTGTCCTGTAGAGTACAGAGTTATCGTCCTCCATCGAACGGGCTTGATAAACAAAATATTTATCGCTTTCGCAAGCTGCGACAATGTATCTCGCTCCCCTTTCCCCCTCACCCCCTTCTGTGTTATAATATGCCACACGAGTCCTTAATCGCCGGACGCGCACGGCGGGGAACGCTCCGCCGTCGTGGACATTTTCCTTCGTCGCGCACGGTCGCGCGCAGTGTCGCATTACATGATCAAAGATTGCGGCTCGCTCAGAAGAGAGCCGCGATAAGGGAGCAGTCTAATGTCCTTTGTGGTCAAAGAGTTAACCGCGCCGCAGAGAGAGAGAGAGAGAGAGAGAGAGAGAGCCACGCGCTCGTCGCGTCACGTCGCGTCGCGCGCTCTTCATTATTTTCTACATTTTCGCTAAGATGAATAGGTAAAGTAATCGTCTCTTGTAACGAGCGCGCCAGATATTACGCATATGCATATTACACCTCCCTTTGATCTCCTCGCCTCGACTAATATCCGCCCTGAGCGCGCGTCCTCCTTGCTCATCCCCTCTCGCCTCCTCTCTCGCCTTTCTGTCCCTCTCTATTTTTTATTCGCCACGTCCTAATGATGATCATTCTTGCTTAATCCTCCTCCCCGCCCCTTGGCACCCGTCCTCTATTCTTTCCCTTCGGCGCTTTACGGCGTCACACGCGCGCGAGCTCACGTCGGCTAGTTCTCGAATCTTTGCGCGAATCTTCGAGACAGATTTATTCCGCCGACGCCGCCGCCGCCGCCGCCGCCACCGCGCGCGCGACCTCGTTAGAGGCGGCGATTTTAATCTACCTGCGAGAGAGATAATTCGATACCCGTGAGTCCCACCATCCTCGTTAAGTAGAGAGACGCCCGGGCGAGCGAGCGACAGGAGTGTCTTGCGCAATAATGCTGATTAAAATTGCGTCTGGTTATTATGTCACGGGCTGCCGCGGATAGCTGTTATAAATATTAAAGGGCGATTTAATGTAATACAATACACGGCGTCGTCAAAGAACGGGCACGGCCGGACGACACACACGCGCGCACGTGGTCGTCGTGATAAGCGCGCGGGATTCCCTCTCTGTGGAATTATTTTTGTTAAATTCCGCGGACCGCGTTCCCCTGCCCTACTCTCGCTCCCCACCCTCCCCCTCGTTCTCCCCCTGGCAACTGTGCGGTATAACGAAATACACATAATTACTCCGCTGCCGGTATTACCGGCCGCGTCCGGTGATATTTTAATGAAACCGTATTATTAACGTTTATATAGCTATGTGTGTGTGTGTGTGTGTGTGTTCGTGTGTTCGTGTGTATCGAGCTGCAGGGAAAAACGATTACATTTTTAAACGAGCTCGGTGGCGATTTCGAAAATCGTGCGATTTTCGTCGCGAAATGTCGAGCCTCGCGAGCGCGCCCAGTTTCGGACTCCGGTTTTATCTCCGCCATTTTCGCCTCCTCCCTTGTTTTCCCTCTCTTGTTTCTCCTCTGATCCTTTTAGCCTTTAATTCTTTCCCGTAGCAAGCCATTAGTGTGTTCGCACAAATAGAGCAGCTATCTCTTTCGCTCCCGAGTGCCACACGCTCGCGCGGCAAAACACGCGAGAAATGACGCGAGTCGCGAGCGCGCGCGGCGTCGCGCGACGGCCATCTCGCGTTCGTGACGCATCTCGCGTCCTGTCTCTTTTTCCCTTCCGGGATCCGCGCGACGGCAAGGACGACGTAATAGTCCGCTATAATGAGCGGTCAGCGCGCGTTCGCTCGCGAAAGCTTACGCGTCGCTAACGACGGCGCTCCTTTGAACGGGGCCCGTCGTGTCGAGGCCGCGTCCACGACGCGGCGTTTAATAAATTTTTAACGACCGCCGCGTTCGTGCATAATTTACGCGCCTGTACGATGTTAATCGCGGACGATGTACTCGAAATTCAGATCTCAAGTTCAGAGCGCCATTATCAATCTCCCGGCCGGAATTACGCACTCTTACTCGCGCGTGCTAGCCGGCTAACAATACGCTCGCCGTTATAACGATGGGATTGACTCGGCCGTGACTAACGCCGAGAGCCGCCGATACGGGGAAGAGAGCGCGGATTTTCGCAAAGTTCCTGCTTGCGCTTGCTCGCTTTTTCTTCTCTCTTCTCATTCCTCGGAATCGCCATCGCGGATAGAATGTCGCGCGTGCTTTACACCAGACCGGTTAATGACGATCGGCGGCACTTGACTGCTGGAAGAATCGTTGGGAATTTTCAACTTTCCGTCATCGTTTCCGCATATTTGTGCATGGGACGCCAGTGCAATAAGTGAAAGTTTAGTGGTGAAGTTTAATGGGAATTATTGGGATCTTTTGGTATCGCTCATATCGCGACAATATATTCGTGCGTCGATTGTTTGAATGAACGATACTTGATTACTATCAATTCCGCGACGGACACGTCGCGCGTCGGGTCGGTTTCTCCGCTTCACAGAGCCGTGATGATACGAAAATCGAGGATAGAGGTGTTGATCGCTGGAAAACAGAACAGGAAAGTTGCGACGATGAAAGGCGAGGAGAGATTCCAGCCACTCGCGGGTTAAGGTCGTTATCCAATTAACTGACGATCCGTTTCCCGGCGCGCCGCGTCGATCGTGGCGGATCTCTGGCTTAACACGCGCTCGATCGAAGTGCTCTCGTTAATTAAATCCCACCAAGTGTGCCGCCACAATATAAACTGCAATCCCGGTAGCGACATGTGCGGCCACCGGATAAGATGCGTCCGGGCGTGCGAGATAAGTGGCCGCGACGTGCGCGACGCGGAGAGATAAATTGCGATCGGTAAGTTCTTCAAGGGCTGTCGGTCGGTCGGGGGAGAGGGTTGACGATGAGACGGCGGGGCAGGAGACGAGTACTTAATTGCCACCGGCTCGGGTCATATTTCATGATTTAATTAAATCACAAGTATCGCGCTTCTTTTTAGCCGCCGCTAAAAGGTTGCGCATTCGTAATTTCATCCGTATGGAGGTTAAAATTGGATTTTAACTCGCAGTAAGCGAAATGCAAATGAAAGAACGCGAAGATACCGGGCGGGACAACGGCCGAAGGAGAGGGGAAAGGTTGGGAGGGATGGAGGGAGGGAGGAGGGAGAAAGGAAGGAAAGAAGGAAGGAAGGAAGGAAGGAAGGAAGAAAGAAAGGAAAGAAGGAAGGAAGGAAGGAAGGAAGGAAGGAAGGAAAAAGGAGAGACGCGGCGACATCGGCGAGATGGGTAAATTGAATTTATACACTTGAACCGACCTGATATATATTTGCGCTGTTTTCAATTATTGGTACAACTCTCTCAGATGAGAGGAACCCCTTTTTTATTAATTTCTTCTTCCGGACTCGACGCGCGCCGTTCGCCTGATTCTGTGTCGTATTAGCAGCCGAGCCGGGGCGGCAAAATCGCCTCTTTCAGCTCGCTCGCTGCGAACTTCATGATCCGCCGGGCAGAGTATTTTTGGTTAATTAAATTCCCAGGTATTTTGTGTCGTGAGCATTGACGCTCGCGATATTATACTCCGGGCTCGACTCGGCGTCGAGTCGCGCCTCTGCCGCGCGAGAGCCGCGCAACGAGCCGGGGAGAGGTGCGGGAACTCGTAATTTTAAATGGCTTTGCGTAATTTATTCCCCGCAATTACCGTAGGAACGCCAAAGCCCGATAGTAGCGCGAGAAATTCAAGACGTGCGATAATTCTTAACGCCTCGCTCTTGTCAAGACAAATTAGTGCGGCGCGATAAGTATCAATTCATTACCAATTAAATTTCGACGTGGCAGCGACGAGAAGAGAGAGAGAGAGAGAGAGAGAGAGAGAGAGAGAGAGAGAGAGAGAGTGAGTGAGTGAGTGAGTGAGTGAGTGAGTGAGTGAGAGAGGGGGAGACTTACAAAATTTACGATATCGACGATTACGAGGAAAATTGCATCGACTCGCGCTGGATTATTAATTTGAGAAACAAACGAGTCGAGAAAAGTAAGAAGAGTCCAACTGCTACGCATCTAGTTGTGCCTGCAGATACAGGGTGTCTGATACAACACACAGGTAAAGCTTATCAAACTGAATGGAAAAGTCCTTTGCAAACAATCGTGATAATTAGTATCGTCAGGCTTCTATCGGAAGAGAGCTGCACTTTATGATATCTCGTAAAAATAAATATTTATTATTTTACTATATTATCGTAAATAAATAATACATGCATATACACACAAACAATAATCACACAAGTAATCATAATAAGTAGAACTATTTTCAACTTTTATATTCATTTGTGTCCAAAGTCTCGAGAAAAATTTTATTACGTTTAAATTTTATCACACATTCCGCTCACATTTTATTATCGGTATAATTAAGAAGTTTCTAGAGTATTAGCGTCGGGAGTCGCGAAAAGTTGCTCCTGACCGCGACATTAATTGAAAAGCATTGGCGAATCCACGCGATATAGTGGAGCGCGAGTTTGTGCGGGTCAGTCTACAACGACGTGTCTTGAGTTTGTTTTCTGATCTCCCGGCGACGACAAACAATAAGCCCGCGGTGCAGGAGCATGTGCGAGGCGCTGGGTCGTGTCGCTCGTTGCTCGCAACGAGTTACTCTGCTTCTCGCTGTCAGCTGATATATCTCCATTGTCGCTGAGAAACAGCGTCAGCAAAGGCAAGATATGTCTTTTTTCATACTACCTGCAGAGCTCTCGTTTACGCCGTCGGCACTTTCGCCAACGTTCTCCACGATAGTCCCAATAATTATCGTGGTTACTTGCAACACTTTTTAAGGACTTTCCCGTTGAGTTTGGTGAGCTCTGCTTGCGGCACACGTTGTGTTTCTGACACCCTGTATGTATAACAAGCGCGCTCGCGCGTCGCCTTCCTCGATCGCGGCTCGTTCGCCAAGGAATTTCGCGCTAATTAAATCTTCAAGTACCGTACGTCGTAGAGAGCGATCTCGGAAGCGTCGAACCGCACCACTACCGGGGCGGGGGGGGGGGAGC